CAAGATATTTTTATCAAACTTCATATGTTGATACATGCTGATGAGAGCTTTTAAACTGCATCAATATTTTTTGACTTTGACCTTTCCTTTGACCTTGACCTCACTTTTCTTAAATTAGTGTTTAGCTCAGTTTTAAGGATACCATGGAAGAAAGTGCAATCAAACTTCATATGTTGATGCATACTGATGTAAGTTATTCAACTGAATCAACATTTTTTGACCTTGACCTTTCCTTTGACCTTGACCTCACATTTCTTAAATTAGTCTTTAGCTCAGTTTTAATGAAATCATTCAAGATATTTTTATCAAACTTCATATACTGATACATACTAATGAGAGCTATTCAACTGCATCAATATTTCTTGACCTTGACCTTTCCTCTGATTTAGACCCAGCTTTTCTTGAATTTGTGTAAAAATTCATATGCTGATACATACTGATGTTAGCTATTCAACTGCATCAATATTTTTCGCCCTTGAACTTTCCTTTGACCTTTACTTCATTTATTTTAAATTAGTGTTTAGCTTAGTTTTAAATAAACCATTCACAATATTTTTATCAAACTCAATATGCTGATACGTATTTGTGAAGACTATTCAACTGCATCAAAAATATTTGACTTTTAACTTTCCTGTGCCCTTAACCTTACTTTTCTTAAATTTGCATTTTGGTGCCAGAGAATCTAAAAACTTCATTAATGGGAATATACACTTAAATTGATTGCCGAAATATGGCGTAAATATTGCCGACTCGGGGTTAAACAATAATAATCAGTCATAATCAATCCAAAGGATGATTAGGCTGTTGTGTAAAATGTAGGAGGAGTTCTGGGAACAAGGGTCTTTTTGTATAAAAAAAAAACATCATTTTTCAACCCCCATTTGACCCCAGGGTGAAAATGAAAATTCCGAAATCTTACTGCACATCTACATGACACCACCATCCATCTCCCAAAAGATGATTAGGCTACTGTGTAAAATGTAAGAGAAGTTCTGGGAACAAGGGGCTTTTTGCATAAGAAACGTCATTTTTCAACCCCCATTTGACCCCCAGGGTGAAAATGAAAATTCCGAAACCTTACTGCACATCTACAGGACACTACTATTCATCTCCCAAAAGATGATTAGGCTACTGTGTAAAATGTAAGAGGAGTTCAGGGAATCAGGGGCTTTTTGCATTAAAAAAGTCATTTTTCGACCCCCATTTGACCCCCAGGGCGAAAATGAAATTCCGAAACCTTACTGCACATCTACAGGACACTACTATTCATCTCCCAAAAGATGATTAGGCTACTGGGTAAAATGTAAGAGAAGTTCAGGGAACTAAGGGCTTTTTGCATAAAAAAAAACGTCATTTTTCGACCCCCATTTGACCCCTAGGGTGAAAATGAAAATTCCGAAACCTTACTGGACATCTACAGGACACCACCAACCATCTCCCAAAAGATGATTAGGTTACTGTGTAAAATGTAAGAGGAGTTCAGGGAACTAGGGTCTTTTTGCATAAAAAAAACGTCATTTTTCGACCCCCATTTGACCCCCAGGGTGAAAATGAAAATTCTGAAACCTTACTGCACATCTACATGACACCACCAAACATCTCCCAAAAGATGATTAGGCTACTGTGTAAAATGTAAGAGGAGTTTGAGAAAGAAGAGTGTGACAGACGGACGGACGGACGGACAGACAGACATGAGTAATAATAATATACCCGAACTTTCTTTAGAAAGTGCGGGTATAATTAACTCAATAAACTATAATTAACTATATTATATTTTGTTAGGGAAAAGATAATCTTTAGATAATCTTAAAAAAATGCTGGACAAATCCTCGTGTTGAACCCGATTCCTCCCGTTTGATAGGCTGTAATCTTGTCCATTTTGCCACTGCAATTTATGAATATCATTTCCGATTAAAATAACTAAAACTCTAGAAATAGAATTGGGACACTAATATTGAGGAGCTTTTTAATGTGTATATATCTTGTATACATCTTTTATATTCTATGTTAATTGCTTAGAAGGGGGGGGGGGGGATAGACTTATTGCATGTATCTGGACAATTACAACTATCAGCGACAGACACCTGCTTTTTTTTAAAGAAATATTTAGAGATATCTGCATGTAGGACATTATATTAAATAATTTTAAATGATATGTTTTAATACAAAGAATCGTTTCAACAATTAACAAAAATTACTTCCACAAGAGGCATAAATAATTAATTCTGTCTTTGCTTCCACTCCGAGAAATTCCATGAAAACAAACCGCATTAAATAGATAAAAGAAAAATGCATAAAAATGGTTAGTACTGAAAAAAAAATTGTTTAAAAGATATTCACCGATAACACCGATTTTTTCCCCAGGTTTAACTGATTGTTTATTCATTTAACAACTAGATTGAATAAGTTTGTTAAAGTATTATCACAGATATAGCGATTTTACTGAAAGGAAAAGAGCAAGTTCTGAAATGTACCTGCTATTTAGTGACTGAATGGTCACTGAAAAGTCAATGAAAGACGCTTTTCAGTTTTAACTGAAAGGTCTTATTACTTACTGTGCAAGAATTTTAAAATGAAGTCAATAAAACAAATTGCATGTGGAACATAATCTCAGTATTATGCATTCACTAATTACCTTTTTCTTTAAACGAAGAGTACGCCACTATGGTTAACAATGTCGGAGAATGTGTATCTCCAAATCTAATTGGGTTTTATTTCACAATTTTAAAAATTGTTCTTTGTTTGGTGTTGTTGTCGTCTCTTTTTTGCCGTCGTGGTAGCTCATATTTAAAGTTTACCATGTTTTTGTGTCATCTACTCCTCCTAAACATCGGTTGCACGCGTTTTCATGCGTCTGATAGTCAATTTTTGATAAATCACCGACTTAAATGGATAGTGCACATTATTCAAATAAATATTTATTAATTTTATATGAATTTTTATCAAACTTAGCAATTTAATTGACAACAAGGTCGCCTTCGTACCATGACAATTACATCAAATATATATCTACCCCCATTTTCGAGAGCTATTTTATGTTTGTGTTGAAAATATCCAGAAAGCTATCTTTGTTTTTATGACGGCTATGCTATTTTCGAGTATACCTAAAGCATTTAGTGCACTCATTAAAATAATTTATTGATGTCTGATGATAGTGTGAGAAGTGATAAAATATTAGAAAAGTCGCAGTATAATCTCTATATTATATTTTTCTACACTTTAAGAAAATATCAAACTAGCTGCAATTTATTGAAACAGAAGTACTTTAGACAAATCAGATGTATTTCCGTAACGAAGCAACTCAGGAATAACAAAAATCGCACGTACGCCAGCAATTATAGCACGTTTGAACAAAATTTATAATTATTTATATCTGTTTAACTTCTTTCAACTAATAAATGTTTCTTTCTTGTAATTGTGTATGCCAATTTCCCATCATGTTTAAATCTCAATAATATTAGGAAAAAAAATTAATTTTAATTTCATACAATTCGGAAAAAGGGACCGAAAAAGTGTAGCCATCGGAAACAAATGTTGCAAACATACTAAATCACTCAAAACAAAAATAGCTCATTTTCGTTAAAAAGCCTAATATATAAAAAAAAAATTAGATAGTTTCTTTGGTAAATTGGGGAGAAAATTTATACACAAATACTTTTATAAGAGTATATCGTTTAAAAATAATCAAGTACATTTACAAACAATTCAAAAGAAGCGAAAATCCCATACTGACCTAGTAAATGAGAACGGCATCGGATTCCTGACAGATCTTCATTTAAAAGTTTACTCAGATAAATCTACAATGATTCCATTAATTCAAAACATTTCCTATATTTGCTTTCAATTACTTTTTCCCAAATTTTGCTTGCCGATTTTTTCCCACATTGCATCAGAGTACCCAAAGCAACATAGCAAGTGATCCAAGTAAGTTTTCGATTAGCCCTTTCCATGTAGTGGTTCTGGCCAGTACATTTCTTATCTTTTATCTTAGGATGCTTAGCATAAAGATGTTTAGAAAACACCTGTCGTTTCCCCTGCTTTATTCTGTCCTGAAGAAGAGACATATATTATAATTTTTATATGATTGACTTATGATTGAATCATTCCAGTCTCTCTGATTGGCTGAGATCCAACAATGTTAGAAAAATACTACGTTATATTGACCTGCACGTGACCTTCCAGGTCAATATAAAGCATTATTTATTCTACATTGGACCAAAAAAAGATAGGGAAATTCAAAATTGATGCAAACAGTTTTGAAAAGTTATTTCACTTCCATCGGACTTCCACTCATATTAACATAACGTTAAGGCACATCGATTCTTGGGTGAGGGGTAAGGGTTAGGGGTTGCAGGACGCCTCCCCCTTTCCCCAAGTTTTGAGAATGTAAAGTTTTAATTTAAATTTTAAGGATAAAAAAATTTCAATGAAAGCCCCCTTCCCCTCGTTTATGGACCTTTACATCCCACCAAATAAAATTTTGAGTGGGAAGAATTCTGTTCCTTTGGAGGTGGGGGGGGGGAGGGGCTAGTCAAAGATTTGTTTTCAGGTAAGTTGTCATTTTTCCCTTTTAATACCCCCTTTTTTTTTTAATCAATCCTATATATGTGCCTGACATTTTTTTTCTACTTTGCACCAAACTAGAATTAAAAATTCCAAAATAATACAACTGTTTTTTTTTTTTTACCCCGTTTCTCTCATTATGTTCTGCTAGTACTTCAGTATATGTGAACAAGTAAGATGGAATGGATTACTTAATGAGTGTTTGTCATCTAATCATTGAACCATATAATAAAACAATTATTGCTGGTTTTGGGGGTCAATACGATGATTAAGCCATGTACTCCTCAGGTGTCTAAATCATCGTATTGACCCCAAAAACCAGCAATAATTATATAGTATTGTTTACAATATTTCTTATTTTCTCGAAAATAAGTCTGGATTTTTTGCAATTTAACACATGCATTGATATAAACTTTTCCGTTCATTTCTGTATTCAGCATTAAATGTAACCGTTATTACAAACACGTCGAAGGTAAATACAATCGAACGTCTTGAGGATCAGCATGTCGAGGATCTACTAGAGAAATTACAAAGAACAAAAGATGCTTTTGCAAAAGCTGAGATGCAACACAAAGATATAGTACAAAATTTACAGAAAGGTATTAAAAATTACAGCAAAATGTAATGTTTTGAAAGAAAAATGATTTAGACATTATTATTGTGCGTCAAATATTATACATTGTTTTTTGTTTTGTTTTTTTTTTTTCATTATAGAAATAGAAGATCTACGTGCAGAAGTAAGCTTTTTGAAGGGGATACTTCAATTTAACTATTTAAAAAATGAAAAGGAATAATAAAAAGTTAACTTCGAAATGAACAGAGCTGATCACGTGATCAAACCCTTGGTAGGCCGTAGGGCTTCTCAGTATAATTGATCGAGTACCAAACAAGTTAATTTCAAATTAAACTTTTAAACTATGCTATTCTATGAGTCACCCAGATGATCTATTGCTATCTGTTTTCGTCCGTCGTGCGCCTTGCGACGGACAGCGTCCATTAATATTTGAACATTTCCAGCTTCTTCTCTGAAACCGCTAAACCTGTTTCAACGCATTGTGTGGTAGAACATCTATGAGTGAGAGGGAACAAAAATTATGAATTCCATGGTTCCTGCCCCCTGGGATCTTAGGGGTGGGGCTAAAACTATCAAATTGAGTACAATCTTTAAAAATCCTCAGGATTTACTCCTGGACATCACGCAGTCAATCTGTTGGCATGATTGTAATAAGCATTAAGCCCTCTATCAAAATTATGAAATTTATGGACCCAGGGCCAGGGGTTCTAGAGTTAGGATGGGGCTGTAATGATCATATAGTGAAAATGCATGAATTCTCTAAAAATGGGGGTTCTGCTGAATATAGAGCTAAAATGCACCATATCTTTGAAAATGTTTTTCTCTGCTCCTGAATATTTAGCATATAAAATAATTACATCATTATGATGAGCCAGGATGCCTTTTCAGAAAATTTAAAAATCCATAACCCCTGGGTCAGGGATAGAGCTTTTTTAATTAAAGAGTAAAAAATGCATTATTTCTTTGAAAATTGTTTCTCTGCCTATGGGATTTTAGCAAACATATTAAGTACATGTCATTTATGAGCAAGGGTGCCTTTTCAAAACTGGTCATGGGCTCTGGTGTTAATGTGGGTTTATGTTAGATACGTGTATTTAGTGAAAATGTAGTATTTCTTTGAAAATCTTCTCTGCTCTTGGATATTTAGGAAGCAAACAGAGACTATAAAGTTATAACAGGCAAGGGTATTTTGACCACATTTTTGAAATTTTGACAAATTGGTTGATTTATCAATTTGTATTCTACTGAAAAAGTTCTTCCCTTTGATATTCATCTATTATAATTAATGACTGTAAATAATGTTATTAAAACATGTAAAAGGTCAATTGAATGACAGAGTCATACAAGAACCTTTATAATTCTAAGTACAAAAGTTACTTTAATAGTTTATAATGGTCAGGTAGACTTTTAAATAATAGATAAATAGAAATGGGACAAAAATACATTATTTTTAAGACTAAGAGAGGTCAAAGTGAGAAAGAATGAGATGGGGTTACTGATTGTGCTCAAAAACTTTTGTTTTGTATAGCCTGCATGGGGATAGAGACAAATGGGGGCATGAACAGACAAGTAAATAGATAGAGTTTATGACTTATGATTGAGTAAAAAATTAATTATCTAGCTGATCCCTGATCATTGTATTTCTCTTGCTCTTGGGCAACATTGGTTGTTGTTTTATTTCATATTCAATCCATTGATCCTTTACAGAGTTAAATTTATACTCAGGTGACCGTGAAGACCCTATGACCTCTTTTTTTACTTTTGCTAAGTACTTTGAATAAAAATATTAAAAACAATCAACCCTTTGTACTATTGTCAGTGAGTTACGCCAAACTGCACGTTACCTACGTCTTGTAATAATTCCCGACCCTTGAGAAAGTACATATAATCATGAACTTTTTTTACCCAGTAGAATGAATTCATCACATCAAAGAATATATTGGTAAATTTGCAAGCGAATATTTACTTATATGTAATAATTGAATAAAGTTTGTCCTTCGTTTGCTTTGGGACTTTTATACGTTCATGTTTTCATGAGATTATTTTACTTTTTAAAAAAAATATTCAAAGAAAATGTATTTCAAGAAGATTTATTCTTGTTGTTTTACAGTTGACCAAAGCAATCACAGTCACGCAGGTAGTACACTTATCTCACATAGAAATTGCAAATAATTCCAAGTTTTATGGAACCAATTAGCAAGACTTAGATGACACATCAATGATTTTAAACTCTGGAAATTGAAAAAAAAATCATGACAAGCCCTTTTACTATTTATTCAGTTTCTATTTTTTTCTATTGTCAAAGAAACATATCTCTTTAAGTTAAAGAAGTGTGTCTTTAAGTTAAAACGATATCTCTTTACGTTAAAGAGATATACATATGTATTTACAAGTTAGAAATATCTATCTGGATTAAAGAGATATTATCTCGATTAAAGAGATATTTTTGAAGCGAAAAAAGATTTCTCTATTTTATAGCGATATCTTTTTTCCAACAAATTGTAAAAATGGCTTGCCATATTTTTTCATGATGAGCATATGTCTTTTGTGTCTATGAAAAAGTTACAAAAATAACGGCAGCATCGGTTTGGGTATGCTTACTATCTGTAAAAAGCTGTTTAAGTATCATGAGCCATTGCAGACTCCAGAACCTGTATCGACTGATGACCAAAAAATGAATACAGTTCCTCATTTATTGAACTTAAATGAAGATCACATGCTGTCCAAAGTTATCCGATATTTATTGGAAGATGGTAAGAATTCAATTTTCACTGAGATTAAAACTTGTTAATAAAAACACTAAACAAAGCAAATGTGAAAGAATATATATGAGTAGAGAGTTTGAGATGTTTTCCTTCGGAATTATTGATTGAATGCACGTGGTCTCAAAAAAACTAACATTGACATTTTAGCAGCATATTCTCATTTTGTATTTGTCGATCTCTCAATCTAATTAAAATAAGATCTTTGATCTGCTTCGAAATCTGAAAGTCCCATCAGTGAAGCATATAGAATAATAGACCTCGATTTAACAAAATATATGCCGAATTATAGAAAAATCCAAAATTGAACAGTATTGCGACGTGATTTCTCATTTAGACACAGACGAAAAATTGGTACAAAAATGTAGTAAAAATGGGTTGAGGATTTAATGATCACTTTGTAATTTTCATTCAAGGCAAGTGTGTTATTGCTGGAGGAAAAAAACCAAATGATATTGAAAATGACGCTTTTATATATACGTTGGAAGCACAGAGTGAGTTACAATGATGTGTATGCTCTAGAAATCTTGTTCAAACTACACTGTAATGGTATCTTTTCAAGTTTTACTGCAATATTTTTATATGTCTAACGTTTATTTTAGAAAGGTGGCATCAATCATACATAAAAATGGAAATATTATTTTGGAAACCTTTGAAGAAAATGCGGTAGCTATAAACGGCAGAAGAACAAAGGGATCAGAAAGTATTCTCATCAAACATAAAGACAGGTGTGTGGTGGTCATTAAGTTTTTGCATGAAATATACACGTTATCTCTTAAATGTGTTTATAATCGTTGTGCATGTAGGATTTCACTTTGAAAATCGTTCATCTTTTAAGAGTATGTGTACAAGAAAGAGGGCAATGGGCCACAACTCACTTGAGTAACTATGGCCCTTCTGCTCTTCAACAACAGATTCTTTTTCCTACATATTCTCATGTATAACCTTGATTCCATGTTGTAGCCTTGCCCTACTCTCTGGGGTCATGAGTGATATAAATTTGAATCTACACTACCCGAGGATGCTTCTGTATTAATATAACTGATAATGCCTAAGCTCTTTTTAAGAAGACGATTTTTTTAAATGGTTTTTCTATATATTCTTATGTAAAGCTTTGGTCCCCTGTTCTAGCCCCACCCTACCCCAGTTAGTCTTGATTTAAACAATCATCAGTCTACACAACCTCAAAATGCTTCTTGATTAATATAACTCATAATGGCTTTGCTGGTTTTGAAAAGAAGATTTTTAAAGGTATTTCCTTCGTATTCGTTTGCAAAAGTTTGATCCCCTGTTTTGGCCCCACCCTAACCCCAGGGGTCATGTTTTGAACAATCTGTAATCTACACTACCTGAAGATGCTTTTATATTAATGATTATTCATGGCTTTGATGTTCTTAAAAAGAAGATATTTTAAATATTCTTCCTCTATATTCCTATGTAAAACTTTGATCCCCTGTTGTGTTTTGCCCTATCCCCCAGTGTCATGTTTTGAAAAAAAACTTAAATCCACACTATCTGAACACGCTTCTCTATTAATATGACTATAATGGTTTTAATATGGTAAATATGGTAATGAAGTTTTAATTAGAGGTTTTTCATATATATACTCCTATATAAAACTTTGATCCCCCTGTTGTAGCCCCGTCCAACACACCATCGGAGGTCAAGATATATACAAATTTGTATCTTAAGTAAGTAAAGAAGCTCTCGCATATGTTTAATCTTTTCTGGCCCAGTGTTTCTTGTGAATAGATTGTTAAAAGATGCCACAAATTTTTCACAAATTCTTAATTATCTCCCTTGAAAAAGGGCATGACACTTCCAGTGAACAACTTAAATCCCCTAACCCTTTACCCAAGGATACTTTGTGGCAAGTTTGGTTGAATTTGACCCATTGGTTCTTGAGAAGAAGTCCAAAATGGGGAAAAAATTACAGACAACACACGACAGACAGAAAGACGGACAGACAGACAAATTGACACTTTTTGATCAGAAAAGCTCAGTTGATCCTTCGGTGCCAGGTGATCCAAAACCCATACTAATATAACAAAGTGTTGTGGAAGCAAGCCCAAAGGATGAATAATTAAATTTTATCATAACTTTTTTTGAAACTATTTAGTGTTCGAAATATAATGTTTTGAACAATTTACGGACAACACATGACAGACAGACAGACAACTAGACAAAAGGAGTCAGACACTTTTTGATCAGAAAAGCTTAGTTGAGCCTTATGGCTCATGTGTTCTAAAACCAATACTTATATGAGAGGAAGCAAGCCCAAAGTATAACCAGAATTTTATCACAACTTCATATGAAACTATTTAGGGTCCGAAATATAATCTTTTTTTTCTCACTGGTTGTTTCTATTCTAAGTAATAGCCTATCATCCATTTTGGCCAAACTATAACAAAAAATCAAAAGGACAAGTTCAAAAATGATAAAAAGGCATTTGAAAGCTGGTTATTTTCTCCAGTTTGCAAATATAATGTAAATATGCAAGATTTGGGACTAAATAAAAGGAACCTCACCATACGACAAACTATTTTGCCATTGTACATTTTTTTTAATTTTCAGTATAAATCTTTTGTCAGATTTAAAAAAAAAACTTAGAGGTAAAATAAACGCATTGTAAGAACTTTTGTGTGAAAAATAACTTTACGGCTAGTTATTTAATATACACTGTATATGCATATGCATAATATTACATAAAAAATCAGAAGTTAATCAGAGAACTTTGCTCACATCACATCGCATATTACCCAACTTTTAAAATAAATTCGAATATTTCCTTACTTTTAATTAAATACCCCGCTTGACAATTTGGGGTACAGTATATAGTGATTGTGGTGTTTGTCCTTACATCCTTTCGTCCGTTCCTTTACCCATACGTTTCACCTAGGTGTAGCCATCCATTTTCTGTCACTTTTCCTACAACACTGACTTTATTCCATAGTGCCTTGTGTACCTCCTATCTTATGATTCGACTCATATTTGAGGATTTTTCGTAGCAAAGCAAGGAACCGACCTTCTTTTTTTATAATACTGGGGGTACAATCTTTTATCCGTAACTCCTCCTAAATCACTGTATGAAAATTAATGGGACTTTCACAATATCTTTATTACATAATGCCATTATGCATCTCTTATTTTACTTTTACTGATTGGATTTATGCGGTGCGGATGTCAAAACATGGACTTAGTCATTATACTCATATAAAAGCGGGGGCATGAGCTTATTAGCTCACTGCTCCCATTACCTCCAATTATATTTTGATATTCATATACCACATCATTCCAAGTGTTGTTTTCTTTTGAAATCAATAGGTTAATGCTTGGAAATACACGCGCTCTATATGTCTTTGTGGATCCATCACAGGATAATTCCAGTTTAGATGACATCACGTTTGAAATGGCTTTGGATGAAATACTATCTCGTTCAGACATTGAGCAGACAATAGCACCTGGTATGTATTCATGATATTATATAACTTATAGAATAAGAGAGCATTAGTGATAAGAAAGCAAATAGCATAAATATCTAAGTATATGAACCGTATATTTCAGGTTTTTTATCCTGGATTTCTGCATATATTGATGACTCTTTTTTGTCCCAAAACATGTAATTTTATTTAAACATCAAATGTCTTTCTAACGTGTTATACATATTTAAAGTAGTAATAAAAACAAATAGAAAATATTTTGAACATCTAATGACAAAATCATATATATTTATATATATAATTATAAAAAATAACAGAACGCCGATTAAAACTCTGGTTTCAATTGTATCATCAGGATTTTTGACATATTGCTATAGATACAAACATTTCAAAGTATATTGTGACGTAGTGTAACGTCAAATAAGTGTTGCGCTTTAACAGAGTTCATTATGACGTCATTATGTTTCGTTATTACTTTAACAATTAGACAAATAGTGCTGGAAAAGTGTAAATTTACTATCATGATAGGGCATTTAGCACTGGTTGAAGCAATGAAATAAAATGTTTTTCTTGGTTTCACGTTCTTTTTCGGAAGTCTTGTTGTAGAACTTGTATATTGGAAACACTGAAGAGTTAGGAATGTTTTTTGCACATGTACTAATATGTACGCTTACGGCAGTGCACTAGTACTCGGTTTGACGAATCTGTTGACGATGGACGGTCATTCGGTGTCTAAGGGTGTCCCCGGTTTGGCCAATATAATGCTCGCCGCATCCTGAACATGTAAATACATATATCAAATTAGAACTCTCGCAGGTAAAAGATGAAGAATAATGGATGCTCTTCCGCTTTTAAAAATAAACTGTTGGGTTTCTTATAAAAAGGGACAGGTTCCACATCTTAGGTGATGACATTTTCTAACAACTGGTGTTTCTTTTGTATTGTTAAATTTTGCTCGTGTTAAAATCTCCTTTAAGGATGAGCTCTGTCGTTTAATTTTGATTAGCTGAAATTCACTCAATACTTATTTCATTCTTGGATCATTTTTTAAAATTGACATGTTGGTTTTGATGACTTCGAAAAATTCTTGATTTTTGGGGTTGTGTGTTGATACATAGGATATAAGATTTTTTCTGGTTTTTCTTTTATCTGAAGTAGGCTGGTACTGTCATGTAGTATAGCGTTGTCTATTCCTTTTTCAATCAGTAAAGTAGGATAATGTTGTAATAATTCCCGTAACTCATTAAGTCTGATATTTAAAAGATCCTTGTCCGATATTATGGTACAAAGTCGTCTGGCTAAATTATACGGAATAGTGTTCTTGATGTGTTTTGGATTACAGGAATGAAAGAAGTATTGAGTGAATTTCAGCTAATCAAAAGTAAACGACAGAGCCCATCCTTAAAGAAGATTTTAACACGAGCAAAATTTAGCAATACAAAAGAAAAGAATTCGACTTTTTAAAAGTATGTAGCCATACCATCCCTACTAATGTTATTGTGATTTACATTCAAGGCACGTGGTGTAGGTTGACCCAATCAAAGGTTATAGGGTTGAACCGATTTTATTAATAAAATTGTCAGTAAATAGGAAATTGCTCAAGTTTCTTCTTCTAAATACATGTACCTAAAAACTGTCTTTCCAGACCTTTCTGAAAGATTTGCATGATTTTCAAAAGGAAGGAGGTGATTAAAAATCAGAATCTACTAAATCTTCGCTTTTGTGATAATTTTCGGGGAAAATTGGAGAGCTCAGTAGCGACTATTTTTTCAAGGCCGCCCAATACGCTTTTAGAAAAAAAATATGTGTTAATATCTACTACGGTGACAAACCTTTGTTTACCTTATTTGCCCACTGTCATTGCGCACAGCGGATCTCACAAAGAACAATTGTCCAATCACTGAATGAATAGCAAAGTATTCTGGCCAACTACATGTTTTCATTTGACTTCGAACAATTGGTTCACGTCAATCTACAATGCGATAAAAAATGGACTGCGAACAACCAATTCAAAAAATATTGTTTTTTATAAAAGAAATACAAACTTTAAGATTAGAAACTAAGAAAGATGACACGGGCGTTAATAAATTGTTAATCTCAGATTCCCTATAAACAACAAGATAAACATTTTATATTTGTTTATTGTGGCGCTTCTGGCCGCGGTGATTCATTTCAGGAGTTACCACAGGGCTACCCCTCAATAACAAAAAACAACCAATGCAAAATATGTGACGGTACCAAATTGGGCGGATCCTGCACTGGGTAAGTCCCGAGTGCATGGACGTCACCAATACAATATTAATTCATAGTCAATTACCCATAAATTCCCAACAGTCAAAATATAATTATACTCCCTATAGTCAATTACAATTCAATATTGAATATTCAATTTCAATTCAATGTACAAATTCAACAGTTCAAACTTCAGTATCAAAATAATCAAATGTAATGAGCTTAATGTATTGCACTCCTCCAATTGCTTTGATCGCAGTTGATATTAAAAGGATGCGTGATTTCCCGACTGTCAACTTCTATGTAGTCTTTGGAGACCAGGTCTTCCAACAATCTGTTGGAGTTCTGATGGGAACTGATTCTGCCACTTTATCAGCCAACCGTTTTGTATATTCCTACACCTGTATGAAGCAGAATAATATATTTTTAAAATATTGTACATTAGAAGCAAACTCTTGCTCTGGCCTTCAATTTGATATTAAGACATATCGAGGACATATTGTCAATTGACAATAATTACTTTCATTGATATGTTGATTCGATATATCCCAGTGAAATTGAAATCAAAAACACTCCGTCATTTCACAAATGCTTCGTATTTTGATGTTCTACAGACAGTAGACGATAATGGTAAAATGATAACTAAACTATGTGACAAACTTGATGACTTCAGCTTTTCCATCGTCAACTTCCCTATTTATGTCCTAATATTCCAGGATCATCTGCATATGGTGTTTATGTCTCCACACTGATTCGATACGCAAGAGCATGTTCTGAATTGGATCTTTTTTTTTTTTTTTGAAACCGAGGCAAGCTACTGACAAATAAGTTGATGTTACAAGGATTTCAACTCTCCCATTTAAAAACAGCCTTTCGCAAATTCTACAGTCGTTATAATGAGCTTGTCTGTAAATATAGCATATCGTAGGGTCCTATTTTGTCTGACATATTTGATTCCATTTGTTAGATCATTGCTTTTATACTAAATTTGGCTACAGAATACACTGTATGCACCAATACATAGTGCTCAAGGCGGGCGTTCGTTATCTTAACATTCTTCATTTGGATGCGAAATATATTCAGACTGTTAAAACTTGTGCAAAAATAAATATGTTCATAATTTTACAGCTACTTTAAGATTTCCAGACACTTTAAATGCGTTCAAAACGTACTATTGCATTGCAAGGTTGGTTTTAGGGTTTAAGTAAGTTATGTACATGTACTTAAATACAGCTATTTTATATATATAGGGTTCAATCGGCTATATATTAACACTTTTGTCTTGATATCACATGACTGTTGATTACGTGACAGTCACTTGTATTTTTTAAGTGTTTCACATTAGTCGCTGAGGCGCAGCCGATTAACACAATTATTCTAAACATTTTGTTAAAATAATAGACTCATCGTATCCTTGTGTACCCGAAATGTGCTAGGAAAAAAAATCATAGTATTACTTTGTTACTTACAATTATTTCATAAGAAATTCATCTTACCGACAAATTTGAGTGTATTTTCCACACAATATTGGAATCTGTAATAAAACAAAGCCATCACACATTTTTCCCAAGCAAGATTTAGTTAGAGAACAATCTCTTCTTACAGATTTCCAAAAGAAATTTCAGATTAATCCTCATTAATAGCCTGTGTCAGACTCTTTTATACATACGTATTAAATTCTTCCTCTAACCACGGGTATAAAAACAGAGTACATTTCAAAGGTATATTTTTTGTAAACATTTTGAACACGCTGATTTGCAATCAAAGATACTTAAGCGATGTATTTTTTTAACATTCGAAGGCACAGAGTGCACTCTGATATTCTTTGGGAAGCCTTAACCTATCTGCGTTGTTTCAGATGAGATAGCTTTAAGATTGAAGGTGACAAGAAGAGAGGAAGAAGTGAGGGAAGCTAATGCCAAAGCTGTGCTATTGAACAAACCATTGAAATTTCACCTACAATTAACCAGCGCATATTTTTTAGGACTAAATGATCGATCACAAATTGCAAGTAGCTTATATCCTAATTTCTCTAAGATTTAAATAAAATCATTCTATATTGAAAAAAAAATGTGTTAAAAACTTTAAATGTCCTGCAAAAAATTTGCAGAAAATTATTTTATGTTTCTATGAATTGATGTGGAAACATATATAATTTCCAGGTTATTGTTAAAGTGCTGAATTTGAAGAACAACTGCAGGTATATTTTGACAGAAAATGAATTTAGCGACAAAATAGCTGCTATAAATGACTATGACGTAAGTCATTCCATAAAGATGGGTTGTATAACTTTTTATATGAAGCCATAGTTTTTGCTCATTTAATTATTTTATACCTTTCACACTGTCTTATGTTTATATTTTTCGGTTTGTGTTGTTGTCTCTTTAACGGGTAATACTTCCTTTATTCACGGTTGGCTACCGTTGAGAGATTGCTGGTGTCGCAATCGAAAAATTCTCGACAAATCTTTCAACAGTGTTCTAACCATCGGCTTGGTCTTATAATGATCTCCCATAGATCTCCAGAGTCTTTCAGAAAGAGCAACTGAGCTTACTGAAGACTGCATCTGAGATCTATGGGAAGTTACGTCTGCAAAATGATCATTGAGAGATTTTGGAGACTTGTGTGAGATCTGGAAGAGACTTTCACTACAATATCTTCAATTTTTCATCTCCCAACAAGCACATTATGATTTCTCTCAACATTTACACAGAAACAGACTTTTGCATGGACTGAGTAATTCTAATTATTATCCTTCATATTTCTAGTAATAAAGTCTATTTGATTAGTCTAGATGTCAAGTACAAAGGGACAATTCGAGGTATCTCCCTCACATGCACGTTGGCTACTGTGCATGTGTTGTCTCCCTTCAGATGACACGCGGGTATGTTAAGGCTACACTCAGATATTGTAACTTGATTGATTGATTGATTGATTGTATACTGTTTTACGTCCCATTCGAGAATTTTTCACTCATATAGAGACGTCACCATATACCGGTGAAGGGCTTCAAATTTTGACCTTTACTCGGCACTCAAGGACATTGAGCAGTGAGGGATCTTTATCGTGCCAACGCCTGCCGTGACACGGGGCCTCGGTTTTTAAGGTCTCATCCGAAAGACCCGCAACTTTCACTCCAAAGTGCCGAGCGCATGGCGAAGGAACAGTTGCTACCTATTTTTTATCGACTTAGGTCTGTCGCGGCCGAGATTCGAACTCACGACCTCCCGATCACGGAGCGAGCGCTCTACCGACTGAGCTACCGTGAACGGTATATTGTAACTTGCCTATACAATATGACGTCGTAGTAAGCTATATGACGTGAAGTTTAGATATTATGATTTTTAAATATTTTATATTTAAAGTTTTTCTTTCAAGTCCTAGAAAAGAATGGAAACATGTAAAATATGATAATAACTAGATCCTGACATTTTAGATGGTATAGATAACGAAGTATTTGTCAGGTGGTTAAATTCCTAACCCATGATGTCATAACTGTTGACCAAGTATTTGTCGAGTGAAAATGAAACGGAACGAGAATTCATGTAAACAATCATTTGAAATGGAAGTCAAAAAGCATTTTCATAAATACTATATGTAATTCATAAGGAATATAAGTTTAAGAATTAAGTATGTTGATTTATTTTCATCATTTTTTCTGATAATGAAGACATGTAGTGTTTTGCAATCCTATCAGTCTTTACCCTGTCGTTCTTAACAGCAAAGACGCAAACGTTTAGCATTATGCCAGACACTGGTACTTTGAAACGTAATTTTTGGCATATTGAGAGCTTGTGTTCTATATATAGTATTTGGAAAGTGCTGCTAGAATCGTGTGTTTAACATGAATTGATTAAAATTCTTCGATCATATGTACATAATGTAAAAATTTTGGTAAGATTAATGCGAAAGTGTGGAATGATTATTTCTTTGACAGGAGAGTAGGACTTTACAAGGACCAAAGATGTTTTACAAATTATTTTTACATGTAGAAATGAATTATCCCCGGAGTAGTGCTGAACTTTTCACTTTTAAGGCATATTCTTCTACTTTAAGACGTCACATAATGACGTCGTAGTGAAGGGTTCTTTTAGGCTAAGCTTCATTGATGTCTGTTCAATTGATAATAATAGTAAATGTTCTATCCGTGCCTTTTCTGGTTCATCAAATTTACATTTTACAAAAAAAGTGTGAATTTGCTGATCTGGGTGCTGACTTACATGCAATATACCTGCGCAATAAAATAGCAAGCGAGCATGCATAGTGGCAAATGTGTTGTCTCCCTTAAGATGAAACAAATGCCGAAAACTCTGATAATATCTATAATATAAGCTCGATCAGTTAACAATATAATCTAACTGTTACGTCAAGGTTGTATATTGATATATTTTGAAAAATTAAGGTATAAAATTAGAGCAGTGGGTGAGAGAATACAAAAGGTTTGCCTGATCTTTTATACTCTATTTCACAAAATCTTCTGGATAATAAACGATAATTATCGACTTTTTGGTAGGGAGACATCACAAATTATCAGGTATGAATAGGCTTGTCACCCTCGGGCTTAAGCCTTGATAATATGTGCCTTCTCACTACTAAACAGTTCATTACAGAATCTTTTATAATCCTTCAAATGAATAGTCAATCTGATTGGTCTAGAACATGTCAGGTAGAGGGAGAAAATTCGTGAAGTCTCCCCCACGTGCCGGTTGACATCTTCGTTGTATTTCTTCAGATGAAAATACAATAATACAAGCGAGGATGCAGAATTACATGTCTCCCTTTCATTTTGAAATAAAATGTCGTAAGTGAGATAACTCTGATAATAGTTAATACTTTTGCGTGATCGGTAAACAATAAATTCTAACGGTTTTATCAAAGTTGTCTGTTGGCATATTTTGAATTATGGAATTAGAGCAGCGGGTATCTAAACACAAAATGTTTATATAAAATTTAGAATCTTCAGGATAATAAAACTATTTGGGCTAAAGCTCCCTCGCGTGACAATCCTATTCAAACCTGATACTAGTAATTTGTGATGTCTCCAACTCAACAGTCCATAATTGTACAATTTTTTACAGCACTTGGAGCTTTCTTTGCATATTGACTTGTATATTCACTTAGATAAAATATGAAGGTAATGAGCAGTAATGCAAAGCTCAAATTAAATAAGAAAAGTTGTAAGAGAGCAAACACGGACTTTTGTAAATCTGAAAGATGAGATCTTGTGACATGAAGGAGTAAGCATCCCCTGTCAACCAGTTTCGCCTTCCTTGTGCCCCTTATCATCGGGTAAACGGAGAAATCTGTAGACAATTCAGTATGGAAATGATGGTGTAACAATTCGTATAAAAGACGTCAACATGGACGCCACATTGTATTCGCAGTGTCATTGTGTCAACAATAGAATTTGCGAAATGCTTACTTTAAACGAGATTGTTGATATCCTATTATTTCTCAGTAGCTGGCCTCTTTTTTAGAAATTATTCTTACGTATTTTTAATGTGCCACTTAACGATAATTTGAATTTACCCTTTGATCTACTTCAGGAGAAGCAGGGAGAAGAGGGTGTTATTGACCCTTTTCTAATCGATCCCAGTTCGACCTATACACCCATAGGGATAGGATTTGCTCGTATTCAGTCGCTTGCCTCTAATCAAGGTGTTAGTGCTAAAATACCTTGTGTGAATGAACTGTCTCAGAGAATCGGGAAGATGCAAATTACAATTGAAATTTGCTCCAATAACTGGAGTGTTGAAAGACTTCCACAGAGAATCCAGGAGGAAAAATTGGTATGACATAGGATACAGTCAAACCTCGTTATCTCAAACTTCACGGGACCGAAAAAATACTTCCATATATCCGAGGATTCGAGATATCCAGGGTAAAATACTTCAGAAATAAGCGCTTGATACTTCAAAATTACTTCGACATATCCATGGTATTTGAGATATCCTTGTGCGAGATACCGAGGTTCAACTGTATTAAATCTTTTTCTCATATTCGAATGAATTAAGTGCTATTTTACCCAATTTACTCCCATGTTTATCTTTCTCTTGGCAAAAAAGGTTCCATTTACCTTTTGACTACCTTATCTCATTAGTCTTTGAGGTAACACATGTAAAATAATACTTTATGTACATATACAGAGTTAACTGGATGATGAATGAGAATTCCACTGTTTCACTATTCTACAATTTTAAGGAATCAAAGTTAAATATATTAATATATATATTTACTAATATATTTAGTCCGAGATCTTGTCAAAAATTCTTCATATGAAAGTTCAGTATCTAAAACGATTGCAATCTCTTTCACATTCTTAATTTGTAAATAGATTTTAAACTCTCAATGTACATACTACTTAAACTCTTCTTGTATAAGATAATTTGATGAAAATTTAATCGCTAGTTTCTATCTGCCAAATATGCAACTTATTATAAACTATGTTATTCTTTCACAAAGAGTTAAAACTGAGAAAACAAAAGGAAATCATAGTCCCTGAAGCTTTTTACAATCATATGTCTAGATAAAACATTCCAAATTTAGAAATTAAGATGAGATCGTGTCAATGACAGTGAATTGCAAAGCAAATGCTCACATTTCCGGAATGGACGATCGCTTAATCAATTTTAATTTTCCCTTCTGTGTTCCATTCTAACCCCGTTGAGCTATATATGAAAACAATTGAATCTACACAACCTGAGTATGGTTGCAGATTAATTTTACTCATTATGACCGTGCTGTTCTTGAAAAAAAAATCAATTTTTTTTTCCAATAGATTCCCGTGTAAAATTTACTGCATTTAATTCAATTCTTAATTATCTCACCTTTTCAGATGGCGTTACCTTTTATTTGAATAAACTTGAATATTTTTTATTCAATGGTGTGTTTTTGTTATGTTTGGTTGAAAATGATCCAATGAGTATTGAGAAAAAGTAGAAATGTGAAAAGTTTGGTACGACGACGACAATAATGACAACAACAACGACGCGCAGACAACAACGAACAATTTTGATAAAGAAAGCTCACTTGAGCATTTGGCTCAGATGATCTTAAAATATGTCTGTTGTTGTATTATCTTTTTTTGAATTCTTTTCATGTAAGCAGTTAACAATACTTAGTCTAGTATTTTTCTCTTCTTAGCTTTGTAAACCCATGTATCTCAAAATCTTCATTAATGGGATTCAATTTGAAGAAAATCTGGAAGAAAAATACACTAAGGTAAGATTTTTCATTGATGTTTAAACAAGTAAATAAAATATAAGCTCTAAAACTAAACGGTGTGTTTATGTGTGCCATTCGTCAATGTCCGATTTAACATGGTTTTATACAAAAATATAATAGCTTTAAGAATATTATACATTTAGTGCATATGCATTTAGCTAAAACATTAAAAGCACTGTGTAAGTTATTACACAGCAATTGTGGAACAAGTATGAAAGTTAGTTAATATATGGCTTGTTAATACGCCTTGCCAGGTCCCTCATACCTTCTTCCCGATATGTTATATACAGTGTTAATTCTAATCAAAAACATTTCAAGTTATTCATGTATTAATAATCGGATAAAGTGACATTTTGACATTAACTGAGTGTAAACAGTAATATATTTTATAATTTAGTTCCTCTGAATCATTGACTTCAAATTAGTATTTATTCACTTTCTCACAATTGAATTCAAGCGCATCAATTAAAACGAATCAAAATGAAAGTCGTCAACTCATTTACTCCTAGGCAAACTTAAAGTCTTAATTGTAAATTTTCTACTCTAAAAATTGAAGTATTTGAGAAATTTTACTTAAAATTAACAGGAAAAGTAAGGGCGTATTTTGAATGAAGCAGTGAAGCAGATTTAACACAGTTTTTTGTTGTGCATTGTTGTATGAATTATAAATTTAGTATCTAGAAGTCTGTTCCCAGTCCAATCTAGTTCGTGTAAACAAGGCTTTACGAGGGTTGTTAGAAAAGCTTCCGGACAAGTTTTTTTGATGATCCTTAAACATTTACAAACATATTATCTAGATAAAACATGCTTCACGGAGCATATCACCTTTTTGCACGTTTACGTTACACAGATACAGACCTTTTAAAAAATTACTGAAATTATCTGAAAAAGACTAAAATGTTTTTAGATGCTGCTAGGATTGCCTACACACATCTGAGACCAATATGTTTAAATGGTAGTAGCTTTGCAAGAATGGAAGGATTGACATTTTTGATGATCAACTCTGCGATCCCCCAAAACTCTGCTTATTGCATGGACGTTACGCCTTTAAATTTTGCATTATTTCCATACCTGATCGCTTAATGTAGACATTGGTTTTAAGATCTAGCTAATTTTCGATACGCCACAAAAACATTTAAGCAAAAAAATATAACATTTCTTAATAAAGTTATTCAATTTTTAAGAAGGAAAACACACAAAGAAAAGACTTTAGAAATGAAAGATATTTAGAACTGTGAAAAAGCTAAAGAGGTTTGAAATCAGGTTGTCACGTCACCTAACGTCAAGTGATTGCTCAATGAATCCTATAACCGTACAGTAAAAATTATTGTATCTTTTCAAAATTTTAGTAATTCGACCTGTTTTATTAATACTAATAAATAAAGGATAAGAATTTAATCAGAGACACGTCATTCTTCAAAGTAAGCAATGAATTTTCCGTAAATCAACTTGTCTGTGAACTTTTCTAACAGCCCTCGTTTATCTTACCCGACAGGTTCTTAAAACTAAAGTTCAAGGTATTTCTTACAGTTTTGCTTAAGATTTTTGCAGTCTATTATCTGTAGAATAAACATGACATTCAGATTTCACGTACTACTTGTAAAGCACTTTTAACATAAAACATGATTATACATGTATTTCAATCACCAAGGAAAGTAATAGTTGACAATGCGTTAAAATTGTGTTTCGCTCAGATACTTTGAAATTATTTTCATTCTTGCAGATAAGTGCTCGTGGGCGAACAAAATTTTACTGGAATTATTTAATTCATTAGGGTTATTGTTTGAGGGCGTAAAATATTTTATTGGTTCGTGCACGGTGGCACTTAATTCCATGGGTAGTTCGTAAAACCATAAAATAATGAACAAATAGGGTTCAGAAAGTTATTATTGGTGGGGAATGACCCACGAAACAAACGAGCATTGGTCCACCATGAAAATTGATTGATTGTTGTTTTACGTCCCGTTCGAATTTTTCACTCATATAGAGACGTCACCATATACTTTTGAAGGGCTTCAAATTTTGACCTTTACTCGGCACTCAGCAGTGAGGGATCTTTATTGTGCCAACGCCTGCCGTGACACGGGGCCTCGGTTTTTAAGGTCTCATCCAAACGACTCGCAACTTTCACTTCAAAGTGCCGAGCGCATGACGAAGGAACAGTTGCTACCTATTTTTATCGACTTAGGTCAGTCGCGGCCGAGATTTGAACTCACGACCTTCCGATCACGGAACGGGCGCTCTACCAACTGAGCTACTGTGAACGGTCCCATGAAAATTGATGATTCCATAGTATGTTTAAGGTTTTCCATTTCTTACATGCACGTATTCATTGTCATTAACGTGTTGGCCTTGAATTGAAGGGATGTGAATGTTTAAAGATCAATACAGCTGTGGCTGAAAAGGTAGACATTTTGTATAATCGTCTTTTTATGTCACAATTGAGATTGACGTGATACTTCCAACATGTCGAGTTACGCATTTAATGCTGGTTGAGACGGTTAGGACTTACATGTAAGATGAATACTTAGGTCAAGGTCATCTTTCCCGAGAAACTTTAGACATATTGTCTCAATTAAGTGACAGAGACATTTTGCTTACGTACAGTGTAATATTTGTGCTTGATCGGGTAAAATGTTTTAATGACTTTGATCGTTATATGCCTTAAGCAGATTTAATTCTTCTTGTACGAATAATATAGCCTTTTACGTCTCTCTATTCATTGTTAATATTCTTATTTTTAGGTAAAATATAGGTTTTGTTTACCTAATACATTTGAAGAGGAAGAGGAATTTGATGAAATTGAAACAGAGGAGTCTGAAGGAGCTTTTGAGAATTTTTACTACGAGAAGAAATGGAGAATACCATCACTTAAGGAAAAGGTACATGAATTATCATTATTGGAAAGAATTTATGCAAATCGCATATAACTACGTTTCCCAACAGTTAGAGATATCATAATTATTATTATTATTATTTTTTTTTTTTTTTTTTTTTTGCCATGGTTGTTTTTGTGAAAAATGATCGCTTCCAGGAGATATAATTTAAATCACTGACTTGAAAAATTGATTTTGCTTATGATGAGTCCATTAATTGTTACTTAAACGAAGGATACCACAGGGATTTTGAAATATTAATCACTTTGCACACAAGACAGGGATTACAAAAATGTAACAATAAGCATGGAATTTTGAAAGATGTAGTCTCCTTACTGGAACGATGTGTAAAACAGACTTTTTCTGACCACATTTAATCAGTGTTTACCATATTTTCTGCATAATTGTATAGATCCATTTAATATGATCGGTCAATACTGACAGAGGTTCTCTATTTCATATAAAAAGTAGTTAATGTATTTATTTCATTAAAATCAAATAACAAATCGATGAGAAATATGGTGGTATACATTTGAAACATGCTCGATTAAGTTAAATGATACGCTTATATTGGAATGATAGTAATTTGACAAAACTAGCCAAACTCATGGATAAATGTTACTATTAATATAATGAAATTGGACAAACGGGTTTACACAGCAATGCAGTAACATTTAATTCAGTAGCTATTGAAG